AGTGTGTGCTTCAGCAGAGGGATCAAGTGAGGTTGTAAGCTGTAAAGTGGGAGCTCGATTAGGATGTAAGTCCTTGGAGATTGGGATTGTGATGTTCTGAACTGCTCCTTGGGTTGTGACCACGGAAAACTGAGCTGTGTGAGCTGGCTTGCTCCCTGAAACCCCGTGCTTGCAAGCTCTCTGCACCACCCCCCACCCGGCCCCCCACCCGACACTTGTGAGTTCTGGACTGATGTCAGGGGTGTCGGCGCCGCCCGGCGGCTCGGTGCACCCAACACTGAGTATGGCCGCACTTGAGTACAGAAAGGGTCTGTTTCAGTGTTTTGTGGATACTTCCTACGGAATCAGTGTATAGTGTATTTCTTTCTGTCCAGTTTTTTTCCTTATGTAACTTTAAAATTTAACATTCCAGACATTTTAAACCATTAAAATTTATTTCCAAGGTAGGTAAATGTGATATGAAGTAATATTGGAAACACTCACACACACACACACACGTGTGTGCGTGCACACACACATGCATATTTATGGAGAGGCAGCCTTCGTAGTAACATGGTATCGTATCCCAGCTTAGCTAGTGACCACAAAAGTAGTGCCAGTCTCATAAGGTTATGGGATTAAATGAGTTAATATATGTAAAGTACTCAGAACAGTACCTTACATGTAAGGAAGCATCAGGACACAGAATAATGTCAATAGTATAATACCATTAAAAAGGGGTTTGCATATATACTTAGAAACTGGTGGGTAAAGAATATTTCTTTGAGAACAAACAAAACTGGAAATGGTTTCTTTGGGAGAGAGGAGAGAGCCTGGGGTAGAAGGAGGGCATACATTTTGTTGTTAACTTTTTGAACTTTTAACCATATATTTTTAGAATAAAGCCATGTTTCAAGTAATTTAAGAGATTCTAGAATCTTTAAGACAAGAATCTACGTTCTTTTCAGATGGCCCTGCCGAGGTGCCAGTGACTAACGGGAACACAGCCACGGGGCAGGCCTTGAACGATGATCTGGACATCTTTGGACCGATGATTTCTAATCCCTTACCTGCAACTGTCCTGCCGCCAGCTCAGGTATGTGTTAAGAGTATGGTTTTACACTGTGTATTTTCATTTTGGAAAGTTTCAATTTTGAATTGTTTTTTACTTGAAAGCCTCTAGATCTTTAGGCCAGGAGTTGGCAAACTAAGTCTGCAGCTTGTTTTTGCAAATAAAGTGTGATTGGAGACAGCCACTCCGTTTACTTACATGCTGTCTGTGGCCGCTTTCACACTGCAAAAGCAAGTTGAGTAGTTGCAGCAGATATTCTATGACCCACAAAGTCTAAGAGTCACTGTCTAAAGTTTGCTAACTCTTGCTCTAGGCAAACGGTGTTTAGAAGTGGGGAAACTCAGACTGTTTCAGCCTTGCCTACGATCCACAAGGTTACTTACTTCAGAGGGTTTTGAACTGTTTGGCGTGTGAACGTGGACTAGAAGCCCGTAGTTCTTTTCTTGTGCTCTGTCGGGCCAGCCCAGGACAGTGTTTCCTTCCGGGTGCAGGGAAACCAAGAACAAGAAATTCTAGCAAACTCAGTACCCATATGCTTTTTTATGAAGACACGTTATTTCTTAGCCTTATAATCTGCCTTTTTTATTTTAATGATTTTTTAAAAAATTATTTAGCACGTAATATTAACGATAAAGATTTTTTTAAAAAGTATCAGTGGTAAAGAAATGTTGACTTGCCTTCTTAACTTTACATGGAATTTTTTCTTTTTTGCCTTTATTCTTTTTTTTTTAAATTGAAGTCTAGTTGATTTACAGTGCTGTGTTAGGTTCAGGCGTACAGCAAAGTGATTCAGTTATACATATATGTTCTTTTTCAGATTCATTTCCCCTATAGCTTATTACAAAATATTGAGTATAGTTTCCTGTGCTATATAGTAGGTCCTTGTTGGTTAACTGTTTTATATATACTAGTGTGTATATGTTAATCCCAAACTCCTGATTTATCCCTGCCCCCCTTTCCCCTTTGGTAACCATAACTTTGTTTTCTATGTCTGTGAGTCTATTTCTGTTTTGTAAGTAAGTTCATTTGTGTCGTATTTTATTGATTGATTGATTGATTGACTGCCACACCACGCAGCATGTGTGGGACCTTACAGGGATCAAACCCTTGCCCCGCCCCCTGCAGTGGAAGCAAGGAGTCTTAACCGCTGGAATGCCAGGGAAGTCCCTGTGTCGTATTTTAGATTCCACATACAAGTGATATATCATATTTGTCTTTCTCTAACTTCACTCAGTATGATAATCCCTAGGTCCATCCATGCTGCTGCAAATGGCATTGTTTCATTCTTTTTATGGCTGAGTAATATTCCATTGTATATACGTACCACATCTTCTTTATTCATACCTCTGTTGATGGACGTTTAGGTTGCTTCCATGTCCTGGCTATTGTACAAAGTGCTGCTATGAACATTGGGGTGCATGTGTCTTTTTGAATTACGGTTTTCTCTGGGTGTATGCCCAGTAGTGGGATTGCTGGGTCGTTTGGTAGTTCTATTTTTAGTTTTCTGGGAACCTCCATACTGTTCTCCATAGTGGCTGCACCAATTTACATTCCCCCCAACAGTGCAAGAGGGTTCCCTTTTCTCCACACCCTCTCCAGCATTTATTGTTTGTAGATTTTTATGATGATGGCCATTTTGACCAGTGCGAGGTGGTACCTCATTGTAGTTTTGATTTGCATGTCTCTAATAATTAGAGATGTTGAGCATCTTTTCATGTGCTTTTTAGCCATCTGTATGTCTTTGGAGAAATGTCCATTTAGATCTGCCCATTTTTGGATTGGGTGTTTTGTGGTTTTTTTGATATTGAGCTGCATGAGCTGTTTGTATATTTTGGAGATTAATCCCTTGTCGGTCACATCTTTTTTTTTGTTAAATATTTCAAATATTTTTTCAGCTTTATTGAGGTATAATTGAAAAATAAAATTATATGTTTAAAATGTATAACATAATGTGTTGATATATGTATTCCTTGTGAAAAGATTCCTACCACCAAGTTAATTAACACATCTGTTATCTCACAAATTTACCTTTTTTTTTTTGTGAGAATGCTTAAAATCTACTCTTACTGAATTTCATTTATACAATACAGTATAATCAACTATAGCTACCATGTTATGCATTAGATCCTCAGATGTTACGTCTTATAACTGAAAATGTGTACCTGCCTCTCAGCCCTTGGCAAACACCATTCTGCTCTGTTTCTATGGGTTTGCCTTTTTTTTTTTTTTAAGATTTCACATATAAGTGATACTGTGCAGTATTTGTCTTTAAGGTGAGATATTAATATATAACTTTCAGGGACATAGGTTACTCTTAAGCATACAACTTAAGATTCTGTTTTGGGTTTTTTTTTGTTTGTTTGTTTTGTGTTTTTTTTTTTTTGCGGTACGGGGGCCTCTCACCGTTGTGGCCTCTCCCGCTGTGGAGAACACGCTCCAGACGCACAGGCTCAGTGGCCATGGCTCACGGGCCCAGCCGCTCCGCGGCACGTGCGATCCTCCTGGACCGGGGCATGAACCCGTGTCCCCTGCATCGGCAGGCGGACTCCCAACCACTGCGCCACCAGGGAAGCCGAGATTCTGTTTTAAATTTACAAATAAGCAACTAGTTTTTTATAGTAAAGTATAATTTTTGAGGTAAAATATTTCTCTTTCTCCAGAAAACCTGAGCCAAATGGGAGTTGTTTGGATGGAAAGTTTTAACAAGAAAGAACCAATGTCTTATTAGAAAGAGGAATTACATATATTTTTATTATATATATTTATTGTCATTATGATAGTCATTGTATAATTAACGCTGGAATTGAGCAAATAGATTTCTGAGGAATCATTAGTTTAAGTGGAGCTTTATCTGCAGCATCGCTGTTTACTTTCAGAGAAGATATAGCTTTATTTTATGGCTTTGCCTCTTCTCCTCCTTCCCCCAACACGTAAAAAGAGGAACTAAGTGTTGCTAGTATCGTTCGGTTAACATCAATTTCCTTGTGAATGTGTGCAGCCATGGGTATGCGTGTGGTAGCAAAAGAAAAAGTCTAACGCTAACATTTTGGGTGTGGAAAGCAGTATTTGGGATACTTGACAGTCCGAGCATGCAAAGCAGCTTCTTTTTGTCTAGTGTTCTAGCGGGGCTGTTCGGCCGGCCCGCCTTCCTTAGACTCCACTGCGGGGCGGCGGCGGGGGGGGGGGGGGCCCCCCCCCCCCCCTGCCGATGCAGGGGACACGGGTTCTCTGCAGCTGCTTGCGCGCATTAGACCAGGCCAGCTGAGGCCCCGTGGCTTTTGTGCAGGGAGAGCAGCGAGCCGGACAGTGCGGAGCTCAGCCCCCCTCAGTGTGCATGCAGCTCCTCCTCGTGCCCCCAGGGCTGCCCTGGCCTTGGTGCTGGGCCTCTGTACCTGAGAGGAAACAGGGCAGGTCTTCAAAATCACACCTCATTCTTTTTCTGGAATGTTTTTGGACCAAAATTGTGTCAGTTTTATGGAGCCCTCTAAAATAATTTGGTGAACAGAATTATCTTCCCTCCAAACTACATGTAAAGACTCTAATCCAGACATTTTGTCAAAATAATGTCTTTGAAAATTGGGGGAGGGAGAGAGAAGGTGGGTTAAAGCACACATTTTACACACACACACTGTACATAGTTTACTAATTTGGTGGCTTTTTATGCTGTGAAATTGAATTGGACCCCACTAGGAATTACTCTGAACCCTGCTTCTTTCAGTCCTGATTCTCTTGAGTGTGGTGCAAATTCTGGTTGAAGATTTCCCCTCACGTGAATGTGAGCTGGATTGATGTGACCGTCTGCTTTCCTGTCTGGCTGTGCAGTCTTCCCTGAGGGGCTGGGAACACTCAGCTGACCCGAGAGGACGCGTGTACTGGGGGTTGAGGGGCGTCGTTCCAGTGTCCCCCAAGCGGACACATAGAAGCCCTCCCTTTCCTGTTCTGTCCATAATATCCACATCCCCCAGCATCTAGACTCACACAGGTGCTGTGGCCTGTCCTCGGTTTGGCCCCGGATCCTACACGGCCAGAGAGCCTTTGGCTGGGGATCCTGCGGCCTCTGGAAAGTGCGCACGTACCGGCAGCAGTGGTTCTCCTTTTACCTTGGAGTGGTCCTGCCGGCACGTGGGGCGCCCCCATCACCCGCCCCGTAAATGGCCGTTCGAGCACCTGCTAGCCAGGCTGCCTGGCGTGCCTGTGCTTAGACTGTGTCCCTGTAGAGGCAGGCGTTCATCAGAAGAAACACACGCATCTGGAGCACGGGGCTGCTCTAGCATGAGGTGGAATAATAGTAGCTTTCCCAAGCACTTCGGGTTTTCTCACACGTCTGTGTCCTCCTCAGGGAACAGACCCCAGGGCTTTGAGCAGGTTCTTAGACTGAACAGAAACTAAACGTGCTGGAGGATCATTTAGTGAGGTGTGGCTGCTTTGTCACCCAGCAACACTAACAGCCAATGCTGCCGTCTGCCAAGCACTTCTTGTGGCCGTCAGGTGTGGCGGTAAGGCAGCTCCTCCCCGGGCCCAGAGGAGGGTGTGGGAAGGTGGAGTGGCAGGTCCGAGGGCACTGGGGCGAGTCTGCAGGCTGGCTGCAGGGCCCAGGCTCTCAGCCTCTGCCTTCTGCTGCTTCATTGCTACGTCAGATATATTTGATTCAAGCCCACTGTTGTATTTGAATTCCATCATGTCCGGTTTTTTACACATTTCAGATCTTTTGCAAAATTATGTGGCTTTTTTTCCTGTCTTAAAATTCTTATTTGATGTCATAATAGATTCAGAATATTGTTCTGCTTAAGTTAGTTTGTGAGCATAATGCTTGGATGCTAATTTATTGAAAGGTTTTGTAGCCAAGGCATTAAATGTTAGATTTTTTAAAAATTCAAGCCAAATCATGTACACTATGGTTAAACTTCTACTTGATGCTCACCTCATTCTGTAGTTTGAGAAGACTCTTATCCAGTTTTTACTAGTCTTCATAGACTTCTCTGAAACTCTTCATATCTAAGTTAATTCCCTATACGCAAATGTGATTGAATATTTAGTGACCGCAGAGATCATTAAAGTGAGGTGTCAGTTGTGACTGTGTAATACTATCTGTGTGCAGGAGATGAAGTGAAATTTTTTGTTTTGTATTACAATATCCACATGCTTATTTGTATTCGTGTTCTTACCCCTGTCTACAAGTGGAATGCAAGGTGTAGGGGAGAGTGCAGGTGGTTGCAGTTTTGCTGGACCTCATATCTGGGTAGACTGGAAGCATTCTAATGTTGCGGTTAAAACGGATTAGATTAGGTTCATAAAATTATCATGATGTTGCTTTTGAAAATCAAAACGTTCCCCCCCCCCCCCCGCAAAGAAGATAAAATCAGCCATTGCAGGACCCTCTTGCAGTCTGCTGTAGTTGTAGAAATGTTCTTCATTCCAAGGGATACCAGTTCTTGGCAGCAGTGATTGTGCGAACAATCAGGAGATGTGCGAACATCTCCCAGGAATGCTGGTCCTCAGGCAGCACCACATGCCTGTTGTTGAAGCCACTGTGGTCAGGATGTGGTGGGCAGAACTCAGCATCAGAGAGGTTCTATCTACTCCTTTTACATTAACAGATTCAAAATAGGAAATGTTCCTCTATCCTGCATGTAGGTTTTGCATGGGCTTTGTCAGTGATTCCCTTTAGTGTCACCATGTTACCTTCTACAGTTGTTTAGTTTCTAATTTCATAACTTCATTTGGATTTCAAGGAATGGATGAGCTGTGTTTTATTATGCAGAATTCGACAGCTTGTTTTGGTATCTGTCTCAGGGGACGTCCTCTGTACCAGCAGTTGCCGCTCTGTCTGCAGTGACGTCTGGGGATCTGGATCTATTCACTGAGCAAACTACTAAGTCAGAAGAGGTGGCCAAGAAACAGCTCTCCAAAGACTCCATCTTGTCTCTGTATGGCACGGGGACCACCCAGCAGCAGAGTGCTCCTGGTAATGCATTTGAAATTTGCTTTCCGTGAATTGCAGTGACATCACTAGAAGTGTATTCTTTGTGCTTATGTAATGTCAATTACATTTCTTCCTTGTTTTCCCCCTGTAGTGAGTGCTTTTGTTGTTGCAGTTTACACAACTACAAAACTGAAATGAAAGAAGCATTAGGATTAGAATGCACAAAACTTTATTCATTTAGGATTAACAAGCTGGTCGCATGTCACTTAATGTTTCACAAGCCTTATAGGACAGGGATTATCTTTGAAGAATTATTTAAATTTGATTTGCCTGAAGTTTATAACTGTACAGTATGGTATTCTTTCTGCATGTAAACAGTAAGTCTGAAATATCACATGAAATCAAAAAAAGCTTTGAGGTTTTTTTTTAATATATCAAAAAGAAATACTAGCACGGTAAAGATTTATGTTTACACAGTTTTAATCTGTCATTTCCTCTAAAATAATGGGCTGCATTTCACATAAGAGCTGAAATTATGTGACATCTCAGCTGCTTCCATTAAAACCAGAGACAGTCCACTCTGACTTGTTTACTTGGTAGTGAGAGACCAGTGGTGCAAATCAGCAGAAACACGGTCTCATGCTATATAGTTTGGTCTTCACAATGGATATTTTATGTAGCTGTTGCACAGGATTTATTTACCCTAGTTAAATTTGCTCAGGCTCCTAACTGATTTGTCTGATTCCTGGAAGTAACCAGCCCTGAGGGTGCAGGGGTGAGCTGCTCTGAGCAACAGGAGCCAGACCAGAATGAAAGCCTTTGCCATGGGTAGTTCAGCGAGACGGGCTCCTGTTTCTGTGCTGACAGAGGCGAGTGCAGCGCTGTGCGGTAACCCTGTTCTCTTTGTTTTCTCTGCTCGGTTCTTCTGCTGCAGGTGTGTTTATGGGACCCACAAATATACCGTTTCCCTCACAAGCACCGGCTGCATTTCAAGGCTTCCCGTCCATGGGCGGGCCTGTGCCTGCAGCTCCTGGCCTTGCGGGAAGCGTGATGGGGCCAAGCGCGGGCATGATGGTGGGCGTGCCCCTGCCCAATGGCTTCATGGGAAACGCACAGACTGGGGTGATGCCACTTCCGCAGAGTGTGGTCGGCCCCCCAGGAGGGATGGTGGGACATGCGGGTGCAGCCCAGAGTAAGTTTGGCCTGCCGCCAGCTCAGCAGCCCCCATGGAACCTCTCCCAGGTAGGGTCCTTTCTCTCCAATTTCTCCAAAATCAGAGAAACCAGATCTTGTTTTCTGAATGGTTTTATTTGTTTTTAAATCTAACAGTCTGGCAGGAAGAATTGAGTAGGGATAATGTTATAAAAGGTAAAAACTGTCTAATCAAATAGACAAATGAGCTGTCATTGTTCCTATATTTAGAATATTCTGTAGAGAATGTTAAGCATTTTTTCATTTCTGATTATAACACAGCTGTAATGGTGAATGTCCCTCATTTGTTTGTAAAAGCTAGAAATTATCTTGGGCATCTTTTGAAATTAGCACCAAGCTTTAAACCCAGCCCCCTGGTGGGTTGTTTGTTTAGACCACTTAGACCGACCTATTTTCACTAATAATTTTGGGGGCTCTTGGTAACTTTCACAGATTAGAGAACAGCCCAGCCTCATATTCTCAGAGCACTGTTTTTGAGAGATCTAGGCTGTGCGTGGATTTATAAAAAATCTTTTTGTTCAAATACATTTGTAAAGTTGTATTTTCTTCTTACTTACAGTCACATTTATATTTAAAAACAATATACACTAGTTCAAGAATTCCCGTAAGATATGAACCAGTCCATATTTGTGTCTTACATCCCCTCATATTACAAAATCCTATTTCTGCCTAAGTTAGTTTAGAGCCAGGAGATGACATTTTAGTATTACCTCTTTCAAATCCATTCTGACTTTCCTCTGGCTTCACAGAGGCCTCAGACCTAGGTTCGTGGTCCCATTCTTCTTCCTTGCACACTTCCTTATTTGATGTTCCTCTGGTATTTTGATGCCCTTGACTTCTGTTCTCGTCAGCATTCAGGGAATAATATATAGCAATTTCTAACCGACATTATTAGCAAAATCACTGTATATCCCATGAACGTTCCAAGTTATTTTTTACTATCACTATTTAAAGGAATATCTATATGACATTGGTCTGTGCACTCTGGGAATCTCAAAAATCATTAAGTGCCAAATGTCAGTAATAGCTTTTGTGCAGCCGGAATGCTGAAGCAGACCCAGCCCAGGTTAGGGTGCCTGCTGAGCTAGTAAGGACTTACCCCACCTTACTTCCGGGCCCGCCGAAGGGGGTGCTCTTCTCCAGCTCTCTCTTGGTGGGGGTCTACTGGCCATGACAGGTACTAAACATTCTTTAGTACCTAGGAAGAAGCGACCTGCCCCTCCAGACACTGTGCCTCATCGGTGATGTGGTTAGTATTAGGGTTTTTGAAGAACTAAGAACTGCAGACGCTTGAACGTTATTAATACAATCCAACCCTGAGCATAGGTTTTTTTTTTTTTTTTAATTTTTTTTTTTTTTCTTTTTTGCGGTACGCGGGCCTCTCACTGTTGTGGCGTCTCCCGTTGCGGAGCACAGGCTCCGGACGCGCAGGCTCAGCGGCCACGGCTCACGGGCCCAGCCGCTCCGTGGCATGTGGGATCCTCCCGGACCGGGGCACGAACCCGCGTCCCCTGCATCGGCAGGTGAACTCTCAACCACTGTGCCACCAGGGAAGCCCTGAGCATAGGTTTTGAATCCACTCTACTTAGTAGTAAATCTCCTTGCCTTTCCTTCACTTCCCATCAGTCTTAGAAGTGAGAGCACCACAGGGGAGGGTTAGGAGGCTTATGTACACACGACTCCAGTCTGGAAGAAAAGTACATGTAATCTTACAACTTTTGTCATAATAATAGACATTTATATGGTTGCCTATAGCAAAAGAAAAATATGTTTTATGACCTTTTTAAATATTTATAAAGTATACAGAGCTATTTAAGACTTGAATAAAGACAGAACAATTGCCATCATATACAATTCATAATTTTGGAGTAGTTTACTTTCAAACATTTCCTTAGTCCTTAGTAGTTAAACTGTAGTTGAAGGCATATCCTAGAAAGTATATAGTTGAACGTATGTGCTAGTATAGTTGAAAGTTCGAATAGCAGTCTCACGGCACATCCAGATATGAATTCAGAGATTGCTTTGGTACTTTTTCCAGTTGTGGTTAATCTTTGGGGGACAAGAAATTGAGTCCAGAAAATGAATAAATATAAAATGACTTGAGACCACTTTATAGACAGGGTTGAAAAGCGGAAGGAAATAGCAACCAAGAAGGCAACACAGTAGCTATTTGCTTTCTGTGGAGAAAGCATCATGTGGTCCTCTGCTTTTACCCCAGGGCTCGGACATGGATGAAAAACACTTAAGAGTTGCTATTAAGTGTCCGTGTCTCTCTGAGTAAATCAACTTCGAGTAAAGGCCCACTTCTACTAAAATAGGCTGGCCATTAAAAATGTCTAGCAGTGGCTGAAGAAACCAGGCCTGAAAAGTGAAGGATGCCTTTTGTGTGTTCACAGGTGAGCCAGCAGATGGCTGGCCTGAGCCTGGGCGGCGCAAGCCCCGCGGCAGGCTTCAGCCAGCCCCCCAGCACCACGGCGGGGGCAGCGGGGTGGTCGGGGGCCTCGTCAGGTCAGACGCTCAGCACGCAGCTGTGGAAGTGACCCTGCAGCACGGCCCACCGCGCTCCCCCCTGACATTCCTGCGGAGATGCAGCCGGGTTCCCCTGTTCATTCGTGTACATAATAATATTTTTTTTCTTTTTTCCCCATTTGTTCATATTAAGAATTATCTGATTGATTGACCGTGTTGGTCTGTACTGATGGATTAAATTTGCTGTGGTGAAAAGCAGGTTGAGAAACCATTTCATGTCGAGGGCAGCTTTTGCTCACATTTCCCAGGATTTCATAGACACAGTATCTATCTGGGAAGCTGCTCGGTCAACGTGCATAATCAGTTTTCCTCTCGATGAAAGTATAGCCCTCATGTTTGCATATAAGGGAAGTAGCTATCATGTTTGTTAGTAATACCTCTAACAGTATGAACCCCGCCCCCAGATTAGCCAGTAATCCTGTAGGAAGGTACTGTATGATCAAATGTTTAATCATATAAATAGAATGTCAATGTATCACTGAGCACTGTTTTCTAGTGTATCCAGATTCGTTTATGCCATCATTCACGTCACTGTGCTGTTGCTATGATGTGCTTAACTGGGAACGTGGTTAGAGAAAGGAAGATAAACCTGGATGTTACTACAAAGTTAGTTGTTTAACGAATGTTTGAAGAAGTCAGATTTTACCTGCCTCCCTTGTAATTGGGATCTCTTCCTATGTACACATAGTGCTAACAAACACGAGACCTTTCTCTGCACTAGATGCAAACAGGGTAACTAAACAAGCCACTTCAACCCTTGAAGGCGTATCCAGGTTTATGACAGTAATTGTGTTTACATTTTATGGTGCCTAGTACTGACAGATGTCATATCCCTGTATTAAACAGATGAATCCATAGACCTTTTTTTGTGGGTTTTATTTCCTATGTGTATACTGCCACCAATCTTACAAAAGTTACTTCATGTTGCAGTCACAAATTGGGCATGTGTTGTTGACAGAATACTTGTCATCTGTTTGTTTGTTTTGAAAACCTGTTCAGTTCTACCAATTAATTATAAGGCCAAATGGGAAAAAAGAGTATGTAAGAGATTCTCAGAATGGTACTAGCTTGCGTGCCATTAGCTGTGCTGTACAGAGACCCTCCGGGTTGCTTGTAAGGGAGCATGCAGAACAAACGGAGACAAGAGCGGATGTCTCTACCCGTGCTCGGCTTCTGGACACAACCGCCTGTAAGCAGGTGCTCGTCAGGAGGAGAGCAGAGGAAACGGCCCCCGGGTGCCCGCAGCCCTACCCCGCACGCCCGCCAGAGCACCAGCTGCGGCTCCGTCACACCTCGATCGTCACCGTGTCCAGGTGGTACTTGGGCTCGTTGGCTAGGTTCACCTTCTCTGTCCGAGTGTGCCACACGAGGACCTGCGGGGAGGAGACCTGATGGGTAGCCACGCTCTCAAGGGACACACAGCAAGGTCAAGCGGCACGAGTGCAATGAATACCTTGGTGCAGTTACTTGCTTTCGGTTCCAGTTCTTCGACGGTCGTGATCTGCTTTAGAAAGTCAGATTCCTGCATCCCGGGCTGGGACCCACGACGCTTAAATACAGCTTTGGGGTTGGACAAGATGACTTGAAGGCTTACAGCAAATCCTTTGTGAAAGTTAAAAAAAAAAAAAAAAAAAGTCTTTAAAGTAAAATACTGGTGTACTTCTCTTTTCTTCTATATAATCTTGGTCACATCAAAACCCGTTTTTTTCAGTATCTACCGTGGGCCAAGTCTTGGTTCACAGAGTTGAACAGGAGTGTTACCTGCATCATCAGTCTCAGAAGCACAGCCCGCCTTTACAATAGAGCACGTCTGCCGCCCTGATGGAGGCTGTGTGTGGAGGGGTGGCTTCTGGACACTACGTAGCCTGTTTGTTGATGACAAAGGGTGCACGTCACAGAGGCCGTCACAGCCCCCGCACGTTTGGCCTCTGGGAATAACTAGAACTCGGTACACCTGAAATGCACACAGTCTCGCCCTGCCTGTCCCTGGGGAGGAGGCCGCCCCACTTTCCTGCCTGTCCTCTGACATCTCCATGTGTTCCTACCAAAGCCAGCGCTGCTCTGATGGACCCTGAGGTTAGAAGACGGAGGAATACAAGTCCGGTCAGTTAGCTGGGAAATGAATACTCTATAGTCATTTGGTATAAATTTCCAATTTGATTCAATCTGAAAAGCAGGGCGTGGGGGGCTGGAAATCAGTGCAGGAGATGATATCAGGCCATTTGGCAAATTTGGTTTTTGTAGTTCATTTTTCAAGGAAACAAATGAGTGTCAATTTCCTTAAATGTTTGGTGTTACGAAAAATCATTACTCTTTAGTCTGTAGTTTAACAAACTCTGTGTCACAGGCTTAGCCATTAAGCGCTCCACAAGCCGTCTCTGGAAGCACTGTCACAGCCGTCCTAATTGTTGTGAAAGTCTGCACCCCGACCTCTGCTCTTCACGACTAAGCTGACACTGTAAAGCCAGGCGCCCTTCCAGAGTTAGGAGAATCAATCTCCAGGAACGTTTTCTTAGCAACTTTTTGCCCTTCCCTACATTAACTGAGCTGATTTATGCTGCTTTGTGCAAACGCATAGTTAGCAAAGTTAGTTAGTATCAAATGATTCCAGTCAGTCACGGGGGAGCTGTGAGCAGAGCACAGCCAGCATCCTCTTAACCTCTCCAGATGCGGGACTGCAGACCCAAGCTCCCGACCCCGCTGCTCCCGTGGGAGAATGCACCGAGAAGCTGCCTACAGACACAGGTGGGTACCGCAGGTGCAGAGCGAGCCCGAACACGGAGACAGGTGCTGCAAGCGTTGTCCCGAGGCTTGGCCCGGGATCTCCACCAATCCTGGCGGGGCAGCACGTCCCGGCAGAATTCGGAGTTAGCACCTCCGTTTTCTCGTGGGTCCTTGCGGCTGAGAACCAGCCAAGTCACTCAGCCTCTCTCAATTCTGAAACTCCCCCGTTTCCTCACCCGCAAGGGTGGCGTGACACCCCCTCCCCTCACGTCTGATGTGAAATTAGTGAACAGAAAGACTTCACTAACTGCAAAGCTCTGTTCAGAGGACCCTAAGATAGATAAATGCCAATACGATTGTAAATACTATCATGAGGGGAGGTGGATTAGCCACCGCTTATGGCTGGAGAACAGTGTTGACGGGAAGAAGCTCAGGAAAGTTCCAGGCCACCTGCGTTTCACCCCACTTGTCTAACAAGTCTGAAGACTTCCTCGGATGTGGCTTCAACAGCCCCGGGCCCCAACAGGAAGTCAAAGGTTCAAATTAACAAAAAAAGTGACTTCTACTAGGTCAACTCAGATCTTAGGATGAAAAGATTTCTGGGGTTGTTTTCATGTGCTTTAAGTAAGCTTCAACCTTTTTTTTTCCTAGCTCAGAGTCTGCCCTTTTTAACCATACTGAAGCTCCTGGTATATTTCTCACATGGCCTCAAGGTACTGATTTTATTTCCCCATTCTCATAAAAAAACAAAACAGGATCCGAGTTGCACAGAAGTCACTGTGAAAATTATATGAAGCCACTTGGATCTGACTTTCCCCATTTTCCCTCAGACTAACATATTCATCATCGTGACCACTGAAGGATTCAGATTGTCTTCTTGCTTTCTGTAGCTCAGGAATATCCTGCTAGCTCTTAGAGCAGTAGTTATATGGCAAAGTCTACCATATAGACAGGCAGAGCTGACAGCCAGCTGTGAAGCTATACTCTGCTCTGCTGCAAGGCCCTTTCCTGGTCCCACTGGAGAATGGGGTGCAGGCTGGCAGCCCGGGGAGAGAATTGGAGGGCAGCCAGCTCACCACCGCAGCAAAGTGGTTTTCTATTTAATAGAAAAGCGGGGTCGTGGCATTCAGACACCTCCCCCTCCCCCGCCTCCACTGTCTTCACCAGGCCCTGCTCAGTGAGCTTTTCAAGGGAAGCAGGTCACAGCAGCACCGGGAACCACTCGAGAACTAGGCCAAGCCCTGGGCTGCCTTCTGGGGAACCGTCTGACCTGCTGTGAACCTGCGAGTTAGAATCCTCCCTCTGAAAGTCGGACAAGTTTTTCGCTCCTGAACCATTGCTTCCAACCCAAGATAGGTACCTTGAGTTTTCTTCATTTCCAAGCACTTAACGCCTCAAGTATCGTATGTACCCTTCCCTTTTGTCAGTGAAGTTAATTTAGTTTTAAAGATGTTCTCAGAAGCCTTTGAGATACTAGGAGCTTTATAAAAATCGTGGAAGTAGGAGTCTCTGTCCTGGTCAGTTGTGTAAAAAAGTGCAAGTGAACACTGGTTATTCACAGGGAAAGCAGGATTTCCTGGCTTCTTCAAGTGGACGGGGTGGGTGGTGGGGACCCAGTCCCTCCCAGTCAGAAGGACCGCCGGCTCAGTGTATGTTTACCAATGAACAGATGCAGCTCCAAGTCCATCAGGCCATTTCCACTTACTTATGGACAAGATGGCTGAAGCGACAAGGACTGGGTTTTCCCTACTGTCTTAAATAGCTAAAAACCAGACAAAACATTTGAAAAAATAGTTTCTAGCACTGGGGAAAAGGCACACAGGACAGAGATCTCTGAAAAGAAGAGACAAATGTGAGCCCTACAGTTGCCCCAGCTTCCCGCCTGAAGGCTATACCCCTGGGAGGGGAACACACACAGCTCTGCCGTCTCCTTGAGCTGAGGAAACAGAATGGAGAACTCGGGGAGGCCAAGACAGCTGGAATTCAGGGGCCGTCACCCCAAGAGCAGAGGGTGCGACTGTCTGCAGAGGGCTCGCCTCAAGTCCCGCTGAGTCTGGTCAGTAGATGCTGGTGAGACTCCCTGAGTTCAAGAAAGGAACCACTGGAAGGAGACAGGTGGATGGATCAATCCCTAGAGGCCACTCAGGGCTGGGACAGGCCACATGCCCCATGGCCAGGGCGCAATGGGCGACAGCTGGGATGCTCGGAAGAGTGCTTGCACGGCCACTGGTCCACTGTGAGGCCAAACTAGCCCTAAAATGAAGGCTTAGCTGGTTTGCCCAACACTTATAAAAGTAAGCCAGGAAAGGATCAAAATGTTTCTAAGTAACTTAACTGTAGCCCAGAAAAAACCTAAAAGTAAATTAATACATATATAACACGCAAACATATTATATACACACCCGCATGTATTTGTGTGTATGTACGTAGAATAAATGTTACACATTTTATATATACAAATACAATGAAATATAAAGAACTAGACACATACTTTTTCTAGAACCTATAGCAACATAAAATTTTTAATGCCTGAGATACAGAAATGACCAGATGTGCAAAGAAGCAGGAAATTATAATCCCATAATGAAAACTTAGCGATCCCACTCCTGGGCATATATCTGGAAAAAACTATAATTTGAAAAGATACATGCCTCTCAATGGTCACAGCAGCACCATTTACAATGGCCCAGACATGGACGCAACCCAAGTGCCCACTGACAGATGAATGGATAAGATGTGGTATACATACACAGTGGGATACTACCCAGCCATAAAAAAGAATGAAATAGTGCCATGTGCGGCAACACGGATGGACTTGGAGACTATCATATTAAGTGAAGTCAGTCAGACAGAGACAACCATATGATACCACTTACATGTGGACTCTAAAAAAATGATACAAATGAACTTACTTACAAAACAGAAATAGACTCACAGACATAGAAAACAAACTTACGGTTACCAAAGGGGAAGGGGAGGGGAGGGATAAATTAGGAGTTTGGGATTAAAATATACACACATGCAGTAGATATAAAACAGATAAACAAGGAACTGCTGTACAGCACAGGGAACTATACTCGGTAGCTTGTAATAACCTATAATGGAAGAGAATGTAAAGAAGAATATATAAATATATAACTGAATCACTAAAAAAATTACATAAATTTCATGTGTACAACATTACATTTCAACTTCTGTATACACTACAGTGTGCTCATCACCAAAAGCTGACCATCTTTACCCATTTGGCCTTCCCTCTACCTACTTTCCCCTCTGGTAGGTCCCGTGGGTCCCAGCCCGGGATGCAGGAATCTACTCTCTGTTCTATATATCTGTGTGTTGGTTTGGTTTGGTTCGTTTGTTTGTTTTTAGATCCCACACATGAGTGAAGTCATACCATATTTGTCTTTCTCTGACTTATTTCACTTAGCATAATAGCCCTCAAGGTCCATCCCATGTTTTCACAAATGGCAGGATTTCATCTTTTTTTGTTTGTCTTTGTTTTTCTTATGAGTCCACTGTATATAGATACCACATCTTCTTTATCCATTCCTCCACTGAGGGGCACTTAGGCTATTCCTATATCTTGCCTATTGTAAGTAATGCTGCAATGAACATAAGGGTGCATGTACCTTTTCAAATTAGGGTCTTCCTATTCCTTGGATAAATATTCAGAAGTAGAATAGCTAGAAAATTATTCTTAATTTTTTTTAGGAATCTCCATACCATTTTCCATAGTGGCTGCACCAATTTACATTCCCACCAACAGTGTACGAGGGTTCCCCTTTCTCCACATCCTCTCCATCAGTTGTTTTTCTTGTCCTTTTGATGGTAGCCATTCTAATGGACGTGAGGTGATATCTCATTGTGGATTTGAT